AAGCCTTCAATATGCTCTTAACGCATCCTCCTTTTGGGCATCGATCGAAAAGACTTTAAATTCCCCCTTTATGTTGCTAATATTTTTTTGAAATTTTTCAATGTATAAGGATAGACATAAACGTTGGTATATGCATGTTTGCATATCTTTGTTTTCGTTTCAAACCTGCTTAACGAGGAGAGTGTCTACTTAAGTGTGGCAAAAAAAGAAAAAAAAAAAAAAAAACCGTGATAGATCACATTCTGTTCCGCCATACCTGAGCGTGTGTGTGCCCTCCTTCCCAGTTTTGAACATGCTAACAGTGTTAACTTTTCTGGGAGTCCCCCCCCCTTGTGCATTTTTTCCACTAAAATGTTAGACACTATTTTGAAGATGTTTCTAGGGAAATACTTTGAACGTATGTCCAAATGGCACCGCAAGTGGGAGAGAGCGCCAACATGAATCAAACCAACTGCAGTCGTCCGAAAGAAGGCGAAACGGAGTCAAACAAACGATCGGCTAGATTGAATACACTGGCCCCGTCTTGCTCCACCTTACCACTACCCCTTTTTCGACTTCCACACTTTGCAGCATGCGACAAGAATTTCCTAACCATGAATATGAATGCGGGAATTGAAATTAGAAACATCATAATAAAGAAGGACGAGATTAATCACTTCTTAAAGGTTATCCCATTTTAACGCTATGTTTAATAGCACCTCTTTTGGCGCCTTCCTGGGGTGGTTCTCCCCCTAGCGGAAGTACCTGCAAAAAGTGTGTCTCTCTCCCGTCTGGTAAAGGACCCCTTCTCGTAATATTGTGCCCTTTTTTCCTTTTACCCCCCCCCCACACACCGAAGAGTAAAAACATAGACGTAGAAATAGTGTACTTAAAAATTGAAAGAATCAATATCAGTTTCGTAACTCTGTCAGGCATGCTAACTGTAAAATGAAAATAAATAAAGGGATTGCTTCGCGTGTTTTTTTGCGACCCCACTTGGTTCTTCCCCTCCTTTTGCTACAAAATAGTGCATGCGAAATAATGACGATCATGAGGCTGATCATAATGATGATGATTTTTTTCTTTTTCTTTTTTTCCCTTTTCTCTTTCTCGCCTTGGAACCACCCCAATGGACTCGCAGCTCAAATTGCAGGGTGTGGATTTAAGACTGAAGCCACACATACATAGGAACGCCTCCAAGGGAATTAAAAATAAGTTGATGAATCTGTTAAGACGTGATGAAGGTAAACTAAAAAGTGGAGACTCAGCGGCTGGGTCACTCTCCTGTCCATGCCAATCCGAGAAAGAACATTTGCAGTCTCCACTTCACTCTGTGCCCTTTTCTTGAACATTTCAGGCGATGTGCAACTTCTTTCTCCACTCAAGGCGGGGGTAATCGAGAGGGAATAAATGAAAAAGCGCAAAATAAAAGGAAAGATCAACATGTTGTAAGAAGGCCTGCCACGAATTACCACCTCGCGTCTCCCATTACGTTTCATCACGTTGCATACCGTTTTATCAGTCTTCATCACTTCTCATGACTTCACTCCCCAACGTCCGCCAGCATGTCAACCTCGAAACCCCCCATGGGGCAAACAAAATCCTTTGCTGCTGCTGCGAAAGCTACCAAGATGTGCAGGACAGCCTTTGCTGCTACAACAACATCAGCAAAATTAAAACTTATATATGCAAAGATTGCTCTGTTTTGAAGGACCAAGAGGATGAGGCACATTTGGCATTTCTTAAGGAGCAAGTCGCTTTGGAGAGAGCACACCGGCATGCTTTCGGTGAAGCAAGCAGAAATGTCCTAATCACGTCCAACTGTGTCCCCACTACTGCTACTTCCGTTGTGGGGACAGATTTAAAGACCAAAAGATGTAGAACCCTTTACCTGAACAGTGCAGAACGGGTTAAGCACTACGATGATATGGGGCAGTTTCTATACGGACGTGTGATGGGGAGAAACCACACGAGGGGTAGTATGGAAGCCGAACCGATGGACCATAGCTTTGTTGAAGAATTCGTGGAGAAGCACACCTCCAGGAATCTTTCCCTCCATTGCGGAAATCTAAGTCATATGAAGAAAGCCGGTGTGGCACAAGACACAAGTGCAGCATACATACCTAACAGAGTGAACAACCCCCTTCAATATTATTCTGCTCAAATGGGAAAAAATGAGCAAGTCCACCTTAATGCTTCAAATGGGATGAAACATAGTCACAGTGCTTGTAAGCAGAATTTGAGGGGTAACCATTCGGATGCTAGCCAGCTTCGGCAGGGCGTGCATGTAAACATAGATATGTATGCTGCTGGAGAGCTGTTCAATGGAGTGGAGAATCACCAGGATAAGGATCCTCCGCGTGGAAGCTGTGACAACTTACATAACGCCCATTCAAAATTAAAGGGAAAAGAAAATCGGAGCAAATTTCACATATATGACGACAATATGGGGGATGAAGTTCACCAGAGAAGCAGCAAATTAACTGATCATGCAGGGGTAGGTTCTCGGGAGGTGAACAACCCCCGCGGGAGTTACCATAATGGAGGTGTGCCGTTTAGATGCCATCCACCGAGTAACAAATGCATGAGTATGCTATACTCATACAACGGGACGAGTAGCAACAATTGTATGAGGATAAAAATCGACCACGTTTTTAGCGAAAAATTGTGATCCGTTTTGCCCCCTAAGTTAGGAGCACCACCAACATGACAGCATGTTGATGAACTTCACTATTCGTACGCTTTTTTTTTTTTTCTCATTCTTTTGCCACTTTTTAAAAACAAAAAAAAGGGGTATCACCCCTCGGGATCGCCACAGCACGGCGCTAAATAGTTTCATTTGTGGAGAGGCTCACCTTTCTGTCATTTCCGCTACTCATGCGCTTAGGAGAGGAGCATATCCCCCCGTGTTCATCAAAGTGACGACCGTTTCGCACGACATAAGTCACTACAAATTGGGGAAAAGTGCAACAAATGAGTCTACGTGGGGAAACAACGAATGGAAACCTCTAATGAGGGGACAAAAAAAGAAAAAAAAAATGGCCAAAACTGCCTGCTCCTACAGGCCTATGCACAGATGTATGCAAACACGCATGCACACCGGAAAAAAAATAAACAAAAAAAAAAAAAATGACGCGTTTGAAATGATTTCCCCCTCATATGTGCGGGGAAATTTCCCATTTTTTTATGAACCGTTTAGGTAAAAGTAGCACAACTTTGGCTAGCTCACCCTTTTTTGGCCATTTTTTTTCTTTTTTACGAATGGAAGCGTATATTATTCTGGCCGATGAGCTTATACTGGCTAGTCATTTTTTTCGACCGAATAACCTTATTGGTATCTGGGATAATGGGCATGTCGCCAATGTCCAAGGGTTTGGGAAATTCCTTAAAGTAGGGATGTTTTAAAGCGTCCGCCGCGGAGATTCTATTTCTGGGATTAAAATGCAGCAACTGTTGTAGTAAGTCCAGTCCAGTGTCTGACAAGTACAGGCCCGAGAACTGGTTAGCAACATTGGGGAAATGGGAGCGTATTTTGGTGACGTTCATTTTAATTTTTTTCTTTTTAAAAAGTTCTTTATTTTTGGAAATAAAGGAGTATTCATAAAATTCAGGGTAGTCTTCCCTATCTGGTAGACCTAACAAGCTTAATATTTTTAAAATCTGGTCAATTTCGTTTTCCCCAATAAATAATGGCTTCTTAAGAATCATTTCAGCAAAAATGCATCCAACACTCCATATGTCGATTTTATTTGTATAGCACCTTTCTCCTAATAGCAATTCTGGGGCTCTATACCATAATGTTACGACATTCCTTGTGATGTTGTGATTATTTATATGGCCAAATTTTCTCGCCATTCCGAAATCGCAAATTTTTAGGACGCCTTTATTGCTATACAACAGATTCGTCGTTTTTAAATCTCTGTGCATGACCCAATTGGTGTGCAGATAATCAACACCGCTGAGTAGTTGCTTCAGTAGGCACTTCAGTTCGGAGATGGTGAAGCTCGGGGTTTTGTTGTCTAAGAGCATTTTCAACTCATGCTCTACATATTCCATCACTAGGTAAATGTCATTTAGGTGTTTGCCTATCACTACTTCCTTTACTGATAAAATATTTTCATGGTACAATTGGAGCAGTATGTTTATTTCCCGAAGGGATGTGATTGCAAACCCTTCGTGGCGCATGCTCGAAAAGTTCTTCATTTGTTTCAGCGCCACTATCTTCTTCGTCTTTTTGTTTTGTGCCCGGAACACTGCTCCGTACGTCCCTTCGCTTATTTTGTTCAATCGCCTGTAGTTTTTTACGCTTCGGCACCCGTTCAGCAGCCCATGCACTTTCATCGCCTCGGCATCGCTGGGGAGTCCATCGCTTCGTTCCCCGTCACTTCGACCCTCGTCGCTCCCTTGTATATCACTTCCAAACTCCTCGCTTTCGCATTCGTCCCAGTCTCCTCCGTTCTTCCCCCCCACGTTGTCCTTACCTTGCTGGAGATGCCTCTCATGACTGTTTTGGCTTCTCATTCTCTCCCTGCTCCTTCCCCCTTCATCACTGCTACGTTTTTCATGCGGGGTGGGTTCCCTTTCAGTTTTAAAACTTTTCACATGATTGTTGTTCCTGCTGCTTACACCTTCTTCCTCCCCCTGGTTGGTCCCTTCCTTTGTCCCTTTACCAGTGCGATAACTATGATCGCTTGTTTTGTCCGGGGAGTGTTTCCTTTTATTGCTTGTCTTGGCAACGCGCTGCGACTCGCCAAAATAGCTATTTTCATCGGCTCGCCTATTATAGTAGTGATAACGTGATTTTTCAAACTGGTTCTTTTTCTTTTCATTGCGCTCGGACGTTTCGCTATGGTATGGCATTTCCACTGGGTTGTCTTCGCCCTTTGGGGGTTCGTCCCTCCAGTAGGAGTGTCTGTTGCCCCCCCGGTCACGGCGGGTATGATCATAGCGGTTATTATCACGGCGGGTATGATCATAGCGGTTATTATCATGGCGATCATGCCGATTGTGCCAATCATCGGGGCTGTGACGCCTACCACCCCTACCAACGTGGTGGTGATGTTTCTCCCCCTTTGGGGGTCCCCTGTCTTCCATTTTGCAGTATATTTAAGAAGGGCTCTAAAGCTGAGTTCGGCTTTTTCCCCTGCGTGACGTAAAAACGGGGGCAACTCCTTCCACTTTGCATGCCTTTTACAAAATGACGGTTTGTAATTATGAGAAACTTCCTGCGGTTTTGTCTTGGCATAAATGTAAAATTAGTTCTTTTTTTTTTTTTCTTTTTTTTTCACTTGGTCTGCTATACTCGCTGCTGTTATGTTCGTAGAGTGTCTACTTCCGGCGGTCTAAGGCTAGTACTGTACTACATGTCCCTACGTACATACACATATGCGTAGAGGACACCCCCGATCTAATCGCGCCTATTTATCTACTTCGCGCACAGCTTGGGGTTGTAGGTGGGTCCCCCATCCGGGAAGTTCCCTTACCATCAGCCGCACAAATTATTTTCAACACCTTTGTTGAAGTGGAATGTTTCTTTTTTCCCCCACGTTCTCAATTAGATGTTCATTGTTGTTTATGTCGTTTGATTGCAATTTGGGAGAACGTGCTTGGGTTTTTTTTTTGTGAAGGGAGTTTTCCTCTTCCTGTGCGCATTAAAGTATAGTATGATTGTAGTCATCTGTTTGTACGTTCCTGCGTTTTCGCGTAAACTAGGGGTTGCCTTCCTCGTTGGAATGGTCTCTTACCGTGCATATAATACGTACTATTTATTTATTTCCTATTTATTGTTTGCTTTTTTTTCTCTCCAAAGCGTCGGCTACAAAATTGGGGCTAATTTGGGGCTAATTTTTTTTTGGGGGGGGGCCCTCTTCCATGCAGTGCAGTATGGTGCTGCAAGGGGGGGCTTTCCGCTGGGTTAAGGAAATTTCCCTTGGCTAGCCGTTTCCAAGCCGAACTTGGCGAGAATGATGGAAGAGGAGGCCTCTCCGCGTGCGAAACTGTTGCATAGTGATGATGACGATGGTGACGGGTGATGATTTTGTTTCTTTTTTTGTACCACCCCCCCGATTGTTGCACATTTCGCCACATCAAAACGAATGACCGAAAGGTTTCTTTTTCCCTTTTTGTGAAAACACTGGGGAAGACACATCAGCTGGAAAGTGCTTCCTCTTACATGTTTCGTGACGGCACCTTCATCCATGTGACTGATTGGTGTGAAACGATTCGTTGAAACGATTCGTTGAAACGATTCGTTGAAACGATTGTTGATTTGTATCCCTTGCAGAGAGGCCGACCTGTGCGTTTGTTCATCCTGCCCCGCCCCACTCGATCCTGGTTGCTTAACGCTCCATTAGGTGATTCCCCATTAGGTTCGCAAAAATGGAAACCAACATGATGCGGCTTTTCCACCCCACCAGAGGGGGGTCAGCAACGTAATATGTGTAGCACGAAGTTAACTATTGGAGCAGCAAAAGGAGGAAAAAAAAAAAAAAAAAATAATTAAATGATGCCAACAAATTGTGAAACGAATTTTGGCACACATGTGGTTACACACTTGTATGCGAACATGACACCATAGGGGTTACCCCTCGAGGGGACTGCCCTGTGTGAGGTCAACTTGGATCGAAACACACCACTCCTACAGGGTTGCGAGAGAAACGGATGCTCCAGATTATGAAGAGAAAAAGGCGCGGTGTGGAAAAAAGTCGAACGGCTTAAGGTCGTTTCCTTCGTGTCCACATAACGATTTGTGGTCGTTCCCCTCGATGTCTTAATGACATCCACGTTTCTAAGTAGATACTCCTGGGGCGAAATTCTGGAGGGACTCAGCAAAGGAACAAACGTTTCACGCATGTGCTGTCGTGTAAAATAAGCGCAGGGAGGAGAAACGATTTTTTTTTTTTTTTCCCCCGCGCGCAAAACGGGGCATTCTCGTCAAAAAAAAGAAGCAATTTTTTGCGTGTCCAAAAATGGATCTTCCGTTGGGTAATCTCCGGCGCTGCGGCGTCTAACATTAAGACCGCCTCTGAGTACCTCCACTGATATGATAGTGTTTTCTTTTTTTTTCCTTTTTTGTAACTTCGGCTGGGAATTTTTCCATTTTTGAAGGCCTCACTTCAGGGTAAAGAGAGACACGAACATCGCGCGTCTTTCCCCCCCAGAGAAGCGACATGACTGATGCCACTTAGGGGCCTCTCCAGGATGGTTAAACGGAATTCCCCCTTTTTTTGCTTAATCATTAGTTGGTTGACCTCTTCCACCGCGACCCCTTTGTCGTAGAGAAAAGAATGAAAGCCCCAGCGTTCAAACCTTTATGCGACGTTATTCGGATCAAAAAAAGGGAAGAAGATGCCGCTGCAGGAAGCGAACTATACAAGGCCTTTTTAAATGCCGGGAAGAAGAACGAAGAGGAATTGCGAAACAAAAGTGTAAAAATAGTGATTTATGAACATGTGAAGTATGAAGAAGAGAAGCGGGTTGGCAGCAGCACTTCGGGGAGCGACTCGGATGGCGACTCGGATTTCCGCCACGGTTGTACCTCCCCACAGGGGAAAAACAAAATCGACAAGAAAGGAAGGAAAAAAAAAGACACCCAAGGGGAAGAACATAGAGAGGCAGCCAAAACAGAGTCAACAGATGCCTACCAGGTTGGAAATGGAAGGAAAAAGGGAGCCAAGGATAAAGGGGACCCCAAAGAAACCGCAAAAGAGACAACAAAAGCGAAAGCTCAAGGGAAGGAAAAGACAAATGGAGAGGGAGAACCAACTACATGCGGGGTGGAAGTAAAAAGGGGTGCTCCAAACGGGGCGAAGAAAAAGAGGGAAGACCTACAATACGCAGAGAAGAAGGAAGATAGTCACAAGTTTGGGGAAAAGGGTAAGCCAGGTGAGAAAAACGATGGAGCATCCACCCAAGGGGAAGACACCCCAAATGGAAGCACCACTTTGACCGTCCACACACAACAAAGCGACGTGGTGAAAGAAAGAAAATCATCCAAAGTACTAGGGACAGTGAAAATCCTGTATAATTTTTATGTAAATCTATTTGATAAGCTAAAGGAAGACGTAGAGAACATTCAAAGCGGAGCTGCCAACAACAACGTCGATCTGTTTCGAGATGTGAACCTCTACACGAACTGCATCTCCATGTTTGATATAATCAACCTTTGTGAGGATCTGAAAATAATAAAGACTTTTCTGAACTCAAAAAAGGAGTGCGAACTGATATGGATACTGACGGTGAATTATCTGGACAAGGTTGACGTGAACCTTTTTGAGCGGTACAAGCATAAGATTGACGTGACGTATGGGAAGGACGTCCCGGGGAGGGTCAAGGGGGATGGGAACCCGGTGCAGACGCTGGAGGAGAGATCAAAAGAGGGGTTGGTGCAGACATCGGAGGAGATATCAACGGAGGAGACACACGCGCCAGGTGAGACCGCCCCACTGAAAATGGCCGGACGGGGCAAAGAAAGCGGAAAGGTGAAGAACAACAAAAGCGGGGCTTACACGGAGGAGGGAAGCAAAGAAAAAAAGGGAAAGACCCAAAAGGGGGACATCGCCCCCATTGGGGGGGAGGAAACCAACATAGGAGCTGCTAATACATCAGAAAGAGCAGGAAACCCCCCGCGAGTAGGCCAAGAAGTGCATAACTTAAAAGAGTACCTCTATGCAAAGTGTCACGAAAGAAAGAATGCCATCATGTTCAGAAGGGTAAACTTCTTTGTCTTCCTGTACGTACTGATATATATAATCAAAACGAGCTCTCGGAAAATCAAATCGCTCCCAGACGACATAAAGAAAGTGAGGAGTTTCTTCTTTTTTCTCAACTTGTATGAAAAGAAAAAAACAATCGAAACGTTGAAGAATATATACAAGGATAAGTACTTAACATTTTTCCAGAATTTTAAGAGCAGCAAAGAAATTGAGGAATACAGAAGGAGGAAGATTTTTTGCCACAAATTTTCCTTCTGCAATGTTAGCAAAATTTTAAATCAAAAAGGGGATGACTTGGTCAGGCTAAAGGAGGCGAGCACACGGGGGGAGAAGAAGCAGACCGGGGGGGACCATTCACTTGGGGAAGAGAAGCAAATCGAAAGAGACCATCCACTTGGGGATGAGAAGCATACGGGAGAGCATAACGAAGAGGCGGGAAGCTACCACCTGACCAATTTTGTCAACACAGCCGAGCTAGACAGCGACTTCAACTCAACGAGCAACCCGCACGATGAGAGCAGAAAAGAATCCCCTCCCCTTCTCAGCCCATACCTACTGGATTATATATTTAAAAATTACTGCTATAAGAAGAAGCACTGGAAAGTTAAGGAAAGCGCGTGGATCAACTTCGGAGTCGTTAGAAAGGAAGAAAAGAAGAAATACAAAATGGATATTTATAATCACACAAAGTTTAACATAAGTGTGGATGTCGTTATCGATGGTGACCTTCCCATCGTGGCCATTTTTAAGGATAAATTATTTTGCGTCAGCTCCAAGTATTCTATATACCTCCAAGTTGACCACAGCAAAGAGGGCGAGTGGTTCGGGTTTGTGAACATCTCATTGAGGTACAAGAATGCCACTAAGGGCGATGACGCTGTGCGGATCCCTGTCTACATGCATATCTGTCCGTAGTTGGGGCTTACAGTTAGGGTTCACCGATTAGGTTTTACCAGTTAGGTGCGCTGTACGCAGTGTTCCGTCTGCCGTGTGTTAACTGTTATTGTATATTTTACATCACTTTTTTATACATTTTATGATTATTATTTTTTTTTTTTCTTCGCGAGAGGGTTGGGGAAAGCCCCGTGCGCGGTATGGCTTACTCGGGGGGAATATCGTCTCCGCGCTGCACAATTGCGAGGAGAAGCGTGGATGCACCTTTCGTCCATCTTTCTAGCCCCCGCATCGAAAAGGCTTCCTCTCCCGAGGGAGGAGAGCATAGTTCGATCCATCCTCTCGCTTCGCCTCCCTTCGCATCGCCACACCGCTGTATTTTTTTTTTTTCTTTTCCATCCCCTCTCATGTGCACACATGAAAACTTCAAACGCTTCGCGCGAATGCAATATCGTTTGCAAAGAAGTAACACAAAAAGGAGGTGGAAAAGGAAAAATGAGATAAACCTTCGCAGTGGAAGATAGCGTCTAGTTTGGTTCCTCCTCTGAAGAGCGCACATAGGGGGAGAGTGCCCCTGCCGTGCTTCGGCTCGGTGATGTCGCTACGGATTTGAGTTCTGCGAAGCGGTTAACTGGGTATGTTATTCGATTCGTTAACTGTGTATATTCTTCGACGCTCGAAGTGTGTATATTTTTCGACCCCCGAAATGTCTATATTCTTAGACCTCTGAATTGGGTATATTCTTCGACCCGTTACCCACTTCGGCTCTCCATTAGCATTCCCCTCGCGGCGCGAACCCCAAGGGACGATGCCAGGGGATGCGCAAAACAAGTTCGACCTGGTGGATGTGGAGCCCAAATTTCTCGAATTCTACTACGAGTGCGCAGACAGCGTGGAGGACTTCCTACAAAATAAAACAAAACTAATAAAGAGGAAGCGATTAAAAATAAAAAATATCTGTACGAAGACGCAGAACATCAATATATGCGAATCGGATTGCAAGTATCTTAAAGTTAAGGGATTAAAAAAGAAGAAGTTAGCTCCTGGCACGAGTGAACAAATTTTCGTTGAATTCTCCTTCGCTGACGTGAATTTTAAAACGACCAAGCTTGGAAAAAAACACGACATTTTGGATGTCGTTAATAACGTAGAGTCCACTTCTTACGTCACCATAAAGAGTGAATATACGACGCTGAGCATTCCGATTTACATAAAGAAGAGCATACCCGTATTTTCCTACGATGATATTATAAACTTTGGAGTTTGTAACGCCAATAGGACATATCACTTTGCGCTGAGGGTCAAGAATGTAGGCACAAGGAGGGGTACGTTTTCCCTCTCCCTGGACGATTCCCCATGGGCAAGTGTGGACGAATGTAAAGATGATGAACCGGCGGAGTGTGCGCAGAGCGGGAAGAAATTAGGCAAACGCCATCGCCCCAACTGCCGCGATGAAGACATGCTGCTTCAGCTTGACCAACATTCCCTCGACCTGGACGTCGGCGAGACGAAGGCGATTAACATCACCGTCAGCAGCAAAGCGGAGGGGAAAATACACAGGGAGTATAAAATCATTTCGCACCATCATAGCTACTTCGTGGAGAAGCAGAGAAACATCACCATCCTGGCTATTTTCACCAAGAGCCATACCTCCTTCCTCTTCGACAATGAAAAAACGAATCTCGTGAATCTTCACTGCTTGTACTATGGGAGTAGGAAAAAGTACCAGGGGAAAATAAAGAATGAAAACAACTACGGCATATTTTGCATCCCCCGATTGGATGCCGTCAATGTGTTTTACTCCAAGGAGGACCTTCAATCGTATGCGGTCGCCAAAGGGGTGAACATAGGCCGCATATTCCAGGGTAAACACGACGCGGGTGTGCAGCGGTAGAGGAGTAACCCCTACAGACATGCACAAATAGCATACTAATGATGTGTAATGGAACGTGCTTCCCCATGTCTACTTCCACCGTGGCACGGGTCTGTCTCAGTGCTGCTTGCCCCCTTTGACACGCTTCCCATCACCCTCGCATCGCAGATGTGTACCTTGAGGAGGAAGAACACCTAAGCGAAGGAGAAAAAAAGGAAAAGGAGAAACTGTTTGCCATCACGAAGAAGAGGCTAAAGGGAGAGGAACACATAGGTGTCACTTTCTGCAGGGCGGGGGCATACCCTGTTGAAAGGCTATCCTATCAAGAGGTCACATTTGAGATTCAGTCCAAGTGTGACGCCGGCCTTTTGCACAGACTCAGCAGGGACACGGCCTACCTGCTCAATTTACCTGTCGTGGTGGAGTTGTCGCTTCGGGTGGGGCGGTCGCGCCAGGGAACCATCCAGGTGCATCGCGCAGCGAAGCAGGTTCACAGTGCAACAACACAGACACACCTCTCAACCAGCCAGACGCGCCTCTTAACCCCTGAGCCCGATCAAACATTCGACGAGGAGGTTAAACTCTGCGTGGCATTTTGCCTCACCTTTCCCTGCGTCCTCCCCAGCACCTACCTCCTAAACTATGACAGCATAGCCCCCAACGAGGGAAAAACGCTTATCCTCGAGTTAAAAAACAGAAATAGATTTCTTAACGTTAATTATACCCTTTCGAAGATCCCATACTTAACACTGAGCAAAAAGGAGGGGGTAATCTCCCCCCAGGGGAAAGCAGTCTTATCGTTAAAACTCCAATGTGACAGCGTCAAAGTGATCGACGAATATATGTATCTATATTTTTGCAACAATTTATATTTCATCGTCCTTCTGGTGAGGGGGAACATCACTTCTACGAGCGCATTACGGAAGGGATCATCCTGCATTCTGCTTCACCCCAAAGGGGGGGACTCATTTAAGAGGAACACTCCACATGCTAACACCAAACAGGACCATGATGAAGTATATGAACAAATACTCAGCAACCTAGAGCTCGAAAAAGTAGACCGAAATTTTTACCAACTCGATGGAGAGCTAGACAAATATAAATACAACGAGAGGTTTATAAACTTTTTAAAGAAAAATAAAAAAAAGTACAACGATGTTTTGAAGCTCATGTATGAGGAGAGGAAGAAGGAGGAGCAGTCAGTGCGGAGTGGCACCCAAAGTGGAGGCTCCCCTGACAGAAGTGACCAGATAATGAAGGCGACAGACAGACTCTCCAGAATCGTAAAAGACAAATTTATATACCTGAATGATCCCCCCGTGGAAGAGCGAATCTGCAACACGTGCATCCAGAAGGGGGTCTACGAACGAGAGAGGAAGAAATACATCCAAATGAGGACCCAAAATTTGAAAATAAAAAATGAGGAAGCTGCACAAGGAGTGGACGAACAACCCTACTTGATGCAGTTTGACATGCTAGATGAAGAAGAACTGAAGAAAGTGCAATTCGTAAGGATCATCCAATTTGACTATGTCTTTCTCGGAACAGATTACACCAGAAAGTTTGTCGTCTTTAACCGAAACAAACACTGTAACGTAAAGGTGGCCCTCACTCATAGTGATAACGTTACGACTCACGGGAATAACCTTCTACTAATCGAAAGGGACTCTCACAAAATGGGCCATGTCAAGCTTAACATAAAAAGGCCTTCCACAGTGGAAGAACCTCATCAGGATGGTAAAACGTATGACCATATTTGTCTTAACGATAGTCAGGGTCGAAGTCAAACTGGAGTTCCTTCTTCCTTTTTTGAGGCGGACGATTTCCTAAGCGATGGTTGCATTTCCACCCCCGAGGGACACACAATCACAGCTGCATGTGCCGACTCACACGACAACTTCTTCCTCCTCAAAAAGTTTGAAGACAAACTTTCCCTAATAATTAATGATTCGCATGAGAGAGAAGTGACTCTCGAGGCGACTCTCGTGTTTCTAAACGTCCTCGTTAATCCCCTCACTCTCTACTTTCGCTTCACCGATGAGGACGTCGAGATGCTTTGTGAGCGCCAGATTGTTTTGTACAATCCATTCAACGTGCCTCTGCGCGTGTGGATGGTCTGCAACCGGGCGCGCGTTGCGTTGGACCAGGAGATCTCAGTAAGAGCCGCCGAGGGTTGCATCGTAGCGATGCATCTAGGAGCAGCGTTTTTAGCTGTCCCTTCGTAGCTGCCTCTTAGTAGCTTCCCCTTCTCAACTACACCGCGTGGTCACATGTGGATCCCCCATTCATGCCCCCTTTAGGTACCCCCCAATGCGCACAAAATGGTCCCCGTGAAATTTGTCGCCCCGGAAAGTGCCACCAGCGTGACTGAGACCATTCGGTTGTACTTGGACGGGAGCATGCTCTACAAAAGGTGCGTTTCTGCCTCCCAGATGAGTTGCCTCCCAGATGAGCTGCTTCCCAGATGAGCTACCTCCCAGATGAGCTATCTTCCAGATATATGCCATTTCGAAACTTCCATCGCCTCCCCCCTACACCGCAGCCTAAAATGCAAATGGATCCCCAACAAGTGCTCCTATAGAGTCACCCCCTCCGAGCTCAACTTTGAAAACGTCCTCCTAAACAGAAATTATGTGAAAGAGTTTTTCCTAATCAACACGGGTAAGGTGCCCTCCGATTGAGTCTATCTCTTCTGGAATGTCTTCTCTCCCCGTGCGAGCTATCCGGTGCAGCCACGGGGGAAAGTGTCTACTCTGAATTTCTTCTCCAGACATGTGGGAAATGCATCCTCGTTATACAGATGGATCTTCCTTCGTCACAGCCGATCAACCTTTTTTTTTTT